GATTCCCGCCGAGGAGAATGAGCTCTCATCTATCTACGACTCTTCGACTGATGGTCCAGATGGTCCAATCTCCTGATCTTTCTCAGGCAGGGCCGAGTGCACGTCTCTGCTTTTGCATTGCCGTCAGAGCCCGTCGCATCCTTTGAGGATGTGCAACAGAGGACCTCCGCAGAGCGAAGGCTTCGGAGCTCGACGCAAATGCCGGCGGTATGGCAAGGTCAACCCAATCAACATCATAAGCACGAACTCTCGGCGGTTCCAAAGCGTGATGACATCATCGTGGGTCCATTTGCAGTAATGGTCCCGTTCTGCAAATGGGTGGATGTCTATCTATCTGCAGTACTGGTCCATTACTGCAAATGGATCAACGATGGTCATCACGCTTTTGAACCTCTGAGAGATTGGTCTTTGAAATGCTATACAGGAGTCGAGGGAGGCAGTGAAGTACATGGCGAAGGACATGTCACAGGGCGAGCGGGTTTGCCGTGACGAGGAGTTCCGGTACGACTCCTCGAGGAGTTGATGGGGACGGGCTCTGCTGCTGGCTCCGTCGGATAGAGAGGTACTGTGGTGACAGACTCGGCGAGCAGTGCCTGGGCGACTGGATTGCGCCCGAGAAGGGCTCCCAAAAGAGCTTGCCGCCTTTGCTACGTGGCCCTGTGCAAGGCAGCAATGTGCTTGCCGCAGCTGGAAAGAACTGACCATGGAGCTCGAGAGCTTTCTCGTGCCCCTCCCATTCTGCCCCTTGAAGTGAGTAACTTGCCCGAGGTCAGACTGCAGCTGCAAGTGCTTCGGAGTTCAAGAACGACAGCGCAACGCCGAAGACCCGGACATTGGCTGTTGTGTTGCTGAGGCGCAAGGAGTTAAGGCAGGGGAGTTTGTTGAGTTTGCCAGCTGAAGAGGGTGCTTAGCTTGGGCATTTTGGGTTCCGGCTCTTTTTCGTCAGACCGAGAGTCCTGTGCCCAACAACAATAAGGCATGTGCAGGTCAGACCATCTTCCGAAGGGGTTGTCTCATATTTCCTCTTGCCAGTACCGTAACCGTCTCGCTCGACCATGATGGCAGGCTTTTTGGTCTCTGTTGCAATGCACCCTAGCACACAAGAATATTTGGGCACGCCATCCGCATGCCAAGTTCTCAGGTCGCGCAGTTCGCCCGAGGCTCGGGCAACAGCTGCCTCACGACATCGCTGAAAGAGGCCGGCTTGTGTTGATGATTGGGAATCATTCCTTGCAGACGACACGACGCGCAGCCCACAATCCCAAATCCCCAGTGCTGCATCCTATAGCTGGATGGGTTGGTGGGTGGGTGGCGGCTGGCTGCCTGCCTGCCTGCCTGTCTGGCTGCGCATTTGTCTTCGCATGCTCCAACTGCACATTCTCATACAGGCTATGTCTGCGTGTAAGCACACATGAATGCATGGACAGACGAAACATGCACGTACAGTTCTCTGGATATGCGCTGGAATCTAGACATGTAGACGATGTAGAGATGGGCAGATCTCATCTTGCGCACTAGGTTGGGCCCTAGGCCCTACCCTGAACAAAGACAGAAAGACCCTCCCCACATTTGCGACGACTGCCTGGCTGGACCTCCGGCCTTCGCTTCGCCGGAGGTCCGAGCGTGCAACCCTGGAGTTGGCCAAGATCCGCCCTACACGTGCGGCCGTCATCTTTGTCACTTTACGGGGGGGGGGGGGGATTTGTGCTTTCAAAGCCTTTTAAAGCTATGTTTGTCTTTGGAGGAGCTGCCAGGGCTTTCAGCGCATATCAGGGCTGCGGGTTTCGTCGCTGGAGCCAGGACTTCTCAGAGCTCGAGGGAGGGTGGTGAGGGTATCAGGTTCAGGGGTAGAGGTCGGCCCCCCTCCCCCTGTATGCCTCCGCCGCCTTATTTCAAGGGCCAGCCCAGGCGATCCCTTTCAAGCCCCAATCCCAAACAACACCTGGGCCTCAAGCCTCAATCCGGCAAAGGGAGCCAAACCCCTTCTGATCTGCCAGTTGCAAGCCGGAAGATCCGAAGACCTGCGTCATTGCCCACTGGGAGCAGTGGTCGGGGAGCCCAGAAGCTGCACCGGAGTAACTTCTGTGATAGTAAATCGATCTTGCATCGCCCCCCAGGCTTGAGGAGCTGCGAATTCCAAGAGCCTCGGGGTGCCACGACTAATCACGACTAACCACGACCAATCGGGCACTAGGAGAGTTTCAGGGCTGGACGTCCAAGAAGATCCCGGCCGGTCCTGTGGCTTTGGGCGTGAGCTGGACCCGAGTGCAGTTTAGAGCTCAGCGAAACCGGGGAGAGTTGTAACCGGAGCGGGCAGCCTCGGCCAAACCTTCGGTGAGGACGGAATGTTCCCGGACGTGCGGTGGCGGACACAGGAGCCGCGTCCGCCACGTCGCTTGGTCGGAGTTTCCGCGATGATTTCGCAAAGGGCTTCGATTCGAAGTTGGTACAGGGGGTAAAGTATGAGTCGGTTCTCAATTGAGGCTGGCATGTTGGATGGATTATAAGTGACAGTTATTGCACTCTTCATGGGGCAGCTTTTCTGTAGAAGACATCGACACTTGTTGCCGGTTAAATGAGCAAGTCTGGTAATGGTCAAGAGATTTCAGCCGAGCATAGAGATTCCATTGATCCTGCACCGGAGGGTATAGTGGAGGAAACCTCAGCGTTGCGGCTCCAAGCTGGTGTGTAGCACACGCAGCTCATTGCCTGTGGGACCTTGACTTTGGCATAATGATGCAGATGCGCATCACCGATATTCTGTTAGTCAAGACAATGAGCCAAAAGCTCAGGTGACTTTCACTATTGCATTGTACTTTGGTCAATGAGCTATCGCTAGTTGCTGTTGCTAGCCTCATCAGCCGAGGCGAGAAGCCCTGCAGAATGGACTTCATTGTTGCACCATACTGTTGTTTATAGCCCTCGTCAGCATCTGCACCACCCTCGAATCACAATGGTAAGCTTATGGCCGAAGGATCGTTTAGCACTGAGCCCGGCGGAGTGCCTTCAGCTGCCGGACATCGTCATCCACGACCACGGCCCCGACGTTCAACGTGCAGACCCCTCGGACCTTAAGGCACCTCGGGGCGCCCCGAGCTGCGAAAAAAGTGCCGAGAGCTTGGAGGCACCCACGCAAAGGCCTCTTTGGGAGGCTTCTGGTCAATCAGAGGATTCCTTCGAGAAGAAAGCTGTGGCCCACCTGAGCGTAGCTCTGCGACTCGATGGCTCTTCGCGGGAGGCCGACACGTGTCGGCTTCTGGCCGAGGAGCTTGCAGCGGCCTTTGTGCGAAGTTGGGGCCTCACCCCCGAGTCCGCGCAGCGCCTGCGGGCGCTCCTGGCGGCGCTGCGCTCCAATGCCGGCCTCCGCGCGGCCGTGCGGCAGCGGGCAGAAGCAGGCGCGGCGGTGCTCGCGAAGACCTTGGCCGCCGAGGACCCGCGAAGTTGGGCCGACGAGCAGCTGAAGGCGAAGCGTGCCGAGTGGCAGCGAGAGAGTCTCGCGGAAGCAGCACCGCAGCAGGGCGGTGTCCAGCGCCCGTGCCCTGAGTGTGGTGGCCGGGCGATATGTGAAACGGGGGCCAGCCAGAACTTCAAGATATCGAAGTCCTTTACTCACTATCGATGTCTGGAGTTGAACTGTGGCAAGGAGACGCACATGACTGAATGAGTCCAGACTGCTGTAGAAAAGAACGACGAATCCTTAACTCCTTCTGTTCGCTCAAGGTATGCTCCCTGTCAGGACATAGCGCTGTGGGAATCGCTGGTATGCAGCACCGGTAAGGTCTCTCTTTTGACTGCGCTTCTTGCAGTCGCTGTTCAGTTTTCTCTCTGCAACTGTCAGTTCTTCCCACGATGTCAACAGAGCGAGTCGCAACAAGCAGACTGCCCAGATTTTGAGCCCGGCTGCCAACGGCGGAGCGTCTGGTGGCCCAGAGCGGACTGAGGTGTTTGCGGAGGTTTCCGGTTTTTGGTGAGGAGTGTGTGTTTGCATCTCGACGAGTGACATCCTTGAGGCGGGTGATTCTGCAGCATGAACCGAACTTGTTCAATTCACCAGCCAACTCTCAACCCCCACCCTGCAACCCTAGATTTTAAAAGGATTCTCGAGGAGTTCTGTATAGCTTGCATTTGCCAGCTACATATTTGTGAATTCGGGAAGTTTGATCAGGAAACAAGAGCAGATTAGGTTTCTAATATTTTTCAATGTCATCCATAAATGAACATACGTCATTCCGTTGTGCAGCTCGGGCTGAAACGGGGTCCCAAGTGCAGCGGCAAGTAATGGCTTTTCCGTCATGGCTCTGTGCAGCGAAACAGCATGGGGGAAACAGCGGATTGTATTGCAAAGAAGCAAAGCAAGTTGTCCCCGAGTTCGAATGCTGGCCGGCCCTAACTGGCTCAGCTTTTGAGCCCCAGAAGCCAAGGGCGTGCAATGACTCCCTGGCCATGATGGAGCCTTGTGCCGAGGAGCCGTGCCTTGCTCAGTGCTTTGCAGTGCCATCGACGGTCTCAAAGTCCTTCGAGAGTTCCGGCGCCTTTTGGTGTTATGTCGTGGTGTGGCAGTGGGATGGCTTTCGGGTGCGAATTTGGGCTGCTACGACAATGTTCGTGGACTTCCTGTAGCTGCGGCAATTGCTCAAAAACTCGGAGTTGCGCCGGTGGACTCGAACTCCCTCACCCCAGACTGCAGCTCGCAGCAAGCTTGCCAAAGGCGAACTCCGAAAAGGCCATCCCAGCTCAGGTGCGGCCACGAGGTCTGCATCGACTGCCTTTGGGAGGCCTGCGGAGGGTAGCTGGTGGACACCAACTGTTTTCCACAAGGCATGGGTCTAGAACCTAGAATTTCCCGGTGACTTGCGGAGCGAAAAGAAAACACAGCAAAATCCCGACAATTCTTACGCAACAGGCGTGGTCCGAGTGGGGCGCCTGCACACAGCGAGGGCCTCGGACAGGAAGAAACTTGTTCTTCCTCTAGGACCGTAGAGCCACGATCCCAATGCGCCTGGTCCATCTCTCCCTTGTGCTTTCTTTGCTTGCCAATCTGTTTCCTGTCTCCTTCTCCCTCTCTCGTTCCTTCTCTCCTCCCGCTCTCCTCCCTACCGCACCTCGCTTTTGGCATCTCCCAGTATGCAGCCTGAGCCCTCGGCCCCAGGTGCGGAAACCAACGCTTCAGACATCGCACCCTGGCAAATCGAGGAGGGAGTTCCATTTCTGCCCAGGTCCTTCAACTCGGGGTGCATCGAGGTTTCTGTTGGTCGGTTTGACTACGACACGGCCATGAGCTTGAAGCGCTCTCTTCCTCCTGACTCCCAAACTTCGACCTGGTACTGTCGCCGGCCCTACGTCCTTCGACTGGAACCAGTGTCGGATCAAGGCAACATCGCTCGGGTTCCCAACCACTGTGGCAAGCGAGAGCCCAAGCTTATCGGATGACGAATCTGGCGGCGGGATGCGGCGGGAGCTGGAGCACTTGGATTTCAAACTGTGGGTTTCGGAGCTTCGGATTGAGTTGCCCTGAATCCCTACGGAGCAGAGCTTTTGATCCATCTCGCCTGTGCTGCTCATCTTTGGGAGATCCCAAGGGAATTGCGGGTCCTGTGTCCGAGGCCTTGTGATGCCAAGGCGGCAAAGGAGTTGGGTGAGTGCGAGAGCCGGGGCACCCAGTTTGTGCTCGGCGCTGGGTGCTTTTCTCTTCGGAGGTTTTGGAGGCTGAAACACTCATACTCAGGGATTCCAGGGCTGGCGCTTAAGTCGCTTAAGGCTTCGGATGTCGGAGGGTGTGCAGATCCATCGGGTCTGAATGTTGAGGAACTTTGTCAACGGAGGTCCCGTCACCACGCCTCGCAACCTCGAAGTGCTCCACAATTCAGCATGGCCTTTGAACTGTGAACCCCTCGGACCCGGAATCCCGTCTCTAGCAGACCCAGCAGAGCCCGGAGACTGCACAATGCGAGCCCTGCCAGGCCATTGCGACAAGAAGTACTACTGCGTGTGGCCGGGATCCTTAGACATCGGGAGCCGACTCTCGTGCTGGAATAGAAGGGGAGTTCCACGCCAATTAAAGCTCTTCTCCTTTCGCTAAAGTTTTGCTTTTCGCACTTGAGGATGCTCCTGTTTGGTAAGCGGTAAGCATGGCTCGGCTCGTGGCCTTTCCAGACTCTCTTCCGAGCCCCGGCCAGAGAGAGCCTCCCAAAAGCTGAAAGCTTGGAGTCTCCAGGAAAGCCCTTGGGCCCCTCTCCTCGAAGTCTCTGCGTCGAGGTCGGAATGGGAGGGCATGGGAAGCTGCTCTCGGACCTGTGGGCCAGGGCCTCACTTGAGAGGGCCTCGCCTCGGCCAGATCCCCGAGTTGTGCACTTCGCCTTGAAGCGCCTGGCTTTCGAGCTCGTGAGATGCGACGTCGGCTTGTTTTCCGTTGATGATCCCCTCACGCAGGAGCTGTGCCGAACACCATCTAACAGTCTTCAAGTTCCTTGCGTAAAGGTCGGGCACTCGCATGCGCCAGCGGCAGCTCACATTGGAGCCTGACAAGCCATTTAAGGACCCTGTCTGCTGGGGTGGTTCTCCCCAAAACATTGAGGTTTCGATAGATATCGCAATTGACACAAAGTCTTCACGAGAACATAAGCCAGAGCCCTCGTGGCTGTCATTACTTCGCTCGGGTAACAAAAAAGTGAGTAAATTCCAGTGCTCTACCAGTCCTGACGTTTCTTCTCGTGTCACAGGCAATTCTGAAGGCAGGTTGAAGTCTGAGATTGTTGCTGCTGGAAGACTGTGCTGCAACAAGTACAGCCTTCCGCGCAATGCGAGACTCCCGATGTTGCTTTCAGCAAATTGTTGTGCTTTCATGAGCGCCGGCGGCGCCCTGCATTTTGATTGCGGTGCCGAGTGCGACATGTGTGCCTGCGGATTGGGTCTAACGTGTTGCGATTCCTGTTTTTGTCAGACGACGAAAGGGGAAACCACTCTTGACCCCAATCCCAAAAGCCCCCGCTACGTGTCCCTGCGCCCAGACAGGACCGCATGTTCTTCGAGACGACGGTAGACAGCTCCTGTAGTGGCTCGCAGATTTTCACAGAGGCCACGATTTTTTGAGGCAACAGAGCGAAGTCAGCCTCAGAGCACCCTCGCAAAGGGCATTCAGTCTTCGACACGGACAATCCCCGCCGCCCAAGGCTCTAGACCCCCGAAGCCTCAAGCTCCTAACAGCCTCTGCTGACAGCCCGAAGGCCCAAGTCTCCGAACCCCGACCAAAGCCACGGCCGCAGACCTGCGAGCTGCCGAGCTGCGAAGCCTGTATGCCCGAGGCGCGTCCACGGATGATTGAGGCTTTCGTTTCTGCATGCTGCCGCAGTCTTCGACAGGGGTCAGAGGTACAATGATCAGCAAGCCCACACCCGAAACTGGTTTCTGACCCTAGCAGCCCTAGCATGGGAACTTGCGCAGAAGGCGGGGTCCTGATTCCATGTTGACAGAGGGGATGCTCCATGTGCTTAAGTTATCCCAGTTGTCCTTCACACTGCTAAGACTGTGAACCAAAAGTTCTTTCCATGCTGTATCAGAAATCCCACAGGAGAGATCTGTACCCAATGCCCAAATCACAGAATACAAAGCACCTTCCGCCACTGGACTGACTGGCGACCAGAAAGATGAACCCCCGAGCGCAACAGGTTTGCTGCACCGTTGCATGGTGGTTTTGGGTATTGAGGTGGCCGAAGCGCCGAAGCATTGCGTTCTATCAGAGAAGTGAAGATGAGGAGTAGAGAATCACCGGGCTAAGCCGGTGTCATGAGGCCCATGAATACCATAATATCCTATTCATGCATGGCAAGCCCGAGCCTGTGACTTCACTGAGGATTGCATCTTCAACGAATGGTCCGAATGGTCCGGACCTACGCGCCGGCCTCGGTTTCTCAATCCACCTTTGGCTGTTTTCTCCGACATGGTCGAGCTTCTCCGACACACAAAGGAAGAGTGTTCTTGCGTCAAGTCATCTGCTTTCCACCACTGGTTTTCTGGCCACTGGATTATCTGGCCAGCGACTGTCCGACGAGTGTACATTCAAGACTCCAGTTGAGGGGTTTTGCCTTTAAAGGACAAAGTAGGGTGGTCGCACATAGACGTAGTTGTTATTCTTGCGGCTTCTGGTTAGAATGCAAATACCGCCCATGTTGCAAAGAAACACCGATCTTGTGCAGATCGCCAGCCAGCAGACAGATGCATCTCAGCCGCGGAGCGGCAAGTGCACCGGATTGCAGCAAGAGCCAAGTGCAACTCAGACCAGCGCAGCTGTGGTAGGTGCACCCAGCTCTGCGAGCGGCACCGCACCGTGAGCCAGGACTGGGTTCAGGGTGCAAGTCTTGGCCTTGGGCTTGAGATGGACACTGACAGTAGCTTTTGTTGGGGCAATGTTGTCTCCGGGTCATAAACGTTGCCAGCACTGTCATACTCGTCGCTAAGCACAAAGGAATGCAATGTCGTGAAAGTAGTAAGATTGTGCATGCTGCAATAAATTGGTTCAACGGGTTCATACGGTTTCTGTGTTTGGGGCTTTACAGTTATGGGGGTCGAGGGCCTCAAACGCCGGCCGCACCAGGGACTGTTCTTCGAGCTTGGGGCTCTTTTGCTTGCTATGCCCCTGCGCGTTAGGCTGAGGGTTTCCTGCCTCCC